CCCCCACAAACCCATTTCCCCCACACTATTCAGAATGACGTGCTTGATCTATTGCGAATCATCCGTGGTCACCATGGGATTCACAATAATATTATTTATTGGGTTGCAACTGGGCAGCAAGAGTTTTTAATTCTATTTTTGTTTAGCTTTTGATATCGAAACTCTTTTAGCACGTTTATAAAATGTCGCACAGAGTACATGGGTTATACTTTAACCCTATCTGTACGTCGTGTTTTACCATCGTATCCATACGATGAGGGGAACTCTGAGCCATCACTTCCCAAAAAGGAAATTTACTCGTTAATCCGATCCGTACCCTTTGCATAGCAGTCTGTCAAAATTTTTTGGGTTTTTTTAGAAATACTGAAAGTTTCCAAGAGATCTTCGTACTACAAGTATTCTAAAATGTGAAGAAAACAACTGTGGGGTACAAATTTAATTACCCCAGGGCGTACGGATAGGGTCAACCTCTGTATTCTTGAGTTCGCCGTTCGATACTTACTTTACTTCCTTAAACTACATGTATCCGGGTCTCCTCTCTCTCTCTCTCTCTCTCTCTCTCTCTCTCTCTCTCTCTCTCTCTCTCTCTCTCTCTCTTTCTCTTTCTGTCTCTCTCTCTCGGTGACGCATGTTGTTCGCCATGACGTCCGACCCCGAAGGCACTTTTTAAATCTTATTTTGGAGAATCCGGGGTACAAGTAGATCTCTTGCAATATATCCTCGTCACCAAGGTATTTATAACTGTAGGCCTACCCAAATCAGCTGCTGTACTCTATAGCAACCCGCTCGCAAGTCCCTGTGAAACCACCCTGCTCGGAACAGAGCCAGTCTCAGCACAATGAATTTTATTGTGCTATGGTGTTCCAAGGACCTAACAACAAACCTTACTGTATAAAGACCTTGTTGGTTTTCCCAAGTTCTCTGCTGCTTTGAGAAAAAATAATAATAAACGTCTGCAAAATTTGACAAATCGCACTTTTTAAAATAGATTCAGTTTCAATGATAATCCAACATCTTTTATTTATTTATTTATTTATTTAAATATTATTTATCTATTCATTTATTTAGGAAAACACTCATCTAGTTGTTTTGGTTGTTTTATTTTTTAAATGTGTGTGTGGTGTGTGTGTGTGCGTGTGTGTGTGTGTGGGGGGGGTGTGTGTGTGTGTGTGTGTGTGTGTGTGTGTGTGTGTGTGTGTGTGTGTGTGTGTGAATTTTACTGGAAAACGTTGATGGGTGGTTGGCGGGTGCTCTGGTGTGATTTGCTTCTTCTTTCCTATCAAGCATCTATCGTCTTTATCTCCCCTCCTTCTTTTTTGTGTTAGTTACTCTCCTGTAATACATGTACCTCTATTCTTTGGCACTTATATGATCGTATTGTGTTGCAAGTGCCGTAAAACACTTACTAAAACAAAACTGAAACTGAAAAAAAGTTGATCACAGGCACACAAAACATGTAAATTTACAGTCACCAAAGAAGTTTGGAAGTCACCAGCAGTTACGAACATTTTCTCGCTAATTTTACCCCCGACATTGGGCTATCCCAACTTCATTCAATCGTCTGGACGAATACTGGAAAGATCTCCCAACTGTTTACAACCCCTCTTGCCAAAACTGATTGTCTTGCCTGCATGCAATGCATTATAGTCATTCATTACCAAATAGTTGAAATGGCTCTACTTAGAGCCTCAAAAAACTAAATCGTCAATGTCAATGTCAATGTCAATGTAATTTAATGAGCACTTTTTCATCAAAGGTAAGACAATAAATTTTAATGAGCATGCTTTAATAAATTTATTTAAAAGAACTCACTGTGCCCAAAAATTGACGAGCGCCTGATTCTACCATGACGTGACATTTCTTATGCATACAGACAACCTTGTCTCAAGTAGCTCGGTGCTGCCTCTATAGCATAACATTAACTGTAATGTCCTGAGTGAAACTGCGTGGATGCTTGTGAGGATACGAGTGTGTGTGTGTGTGTGTGTGTGTGTGTGTGTGTGTGTGTGTGTGTGTGTGTGTGTGTGAGTGAGTGTTTGTGTCAGTGAATCAGTACTTTTAAACATCGTATTTCTCCTAGGATTCACAACATTAAACTCCGCTAACGACAGTCAAAATCGAGTGACTTCTGTCGCATGTGTTTTCAATTATTGTAAAAGCAA